GCCCATTCACCTTCTTATAGCCAACAGCGTGGTGGTTGAGAGTCTCGGCTTTGGAGTCAGACTGCGTGGGCTCGCACTCAGTCCTGCCTCTCGCTTGTTGGCTCTGTGGGCCTTGGGTAAACCCTGCAACCTCTCTGTGCCTCCCTTTTTTGTTTTTTTCATTTGCCCGTAAGGAAGTGTGTGGCCTGGCCTGGGAGGTGCCTGGCACTTGACTGTGTTTTTGTCACTGTTGCTCAGATAGAGACAGCTGTCATGGTCCGTCTCCGTCTCTATTTCTTGTTTCCCTGCTGTGGGTCCATGATTGAAAGAGCAGTTGGGAGACCTTCAGGCTCTGAGTGCTCTGTTACCTCAGTCATCTGCCAGGTGAGGCATCCTGTGCCATCTTAGGAGTGGCCCCCCTCTTCTTGAGGTGGCGCTTGGCCGCTCCTTGAATGTGGGCCCCTGGGTGGCCAGGCGGGGGTAGGTGGGGCCGAGGATATGACCTTGGAGGTGCGGGCCCCTGACGCCAGTTCTTTCTGCTGTTTGTGCCCAGGTGGCAGCTCCATGGATAGCTCCGCAGGAAGCAAGGCTAGGCGTGAGGCTGGGGAGGACGAGGAGGGATTCCTTTCCAAACTTAAGAAAATGTTTACCTCCTGATATCCCAGCTGAGGTAGGAAAACCCTGGAGGTTTCTTTCCCTTTGTTTTCCTCTGTGAACTAATCCTGGTTTTCTCCCACTTTAACTAATATTGTGCCCCCACCCCCAGGAGTGGGAACAGGTGCCAGTCCAAGGTGTGGTAAAACTAGCTCCACTAGGAGCCGGCCTCTCAGCCTAGGGAAGAGATGACGTGGCAGTCAACCTGTAGTGTAGGACTGGCTGGGCTGCCGCGGCCAGCCTCTGGCTGTGTCCTCTTCCTGGGGAGGTGGCGATGGGGGGGCTGTTGTACAGCCCCCTACAGTGGTGGGTCGGCTTGCCCATGGTCACAAAGGGCGAGTCAGGCAGAGCCAGGCCTAGAACTCAGATCTTCTCACGTCCTGCCTGCTTGGAAGCTGCCCGCCTGCATAGACAGTGCAGGGCTGTGCAAGCCTGGGGGCTGCTCCAGGGATAGCGCTTGCTCGCCGTGTCATCTTGGGACCCACTTTTGTTGACTACGCTCATCTCAGCGGCTGGGGTTCTCGCCCCTCTTTTCGCACAGCTGCTTTCCAGGGATTAACCGATGCTCCCCAGTGGGGTGTGTTCCCTTGAGATGTTGAGTATAAGGTAACTGCCTGTCTCTTTGGCTCAGGAAAAAGATCCACTGGAAACTAGGCCAGGAAGCAGCAGCCCCTCCCAGGGCCAGGGCACCTGGGAGACGAGAGGATTCCAGAACAGCAGCACTGAGCTCCCACCCGCAGAGCCTCTGGACGGCCTTGACAACAGCAAAATCATGGGACAACACCTCTCTCCACACAAAGGTCACAGTGGACAGCCTGGGCAGTAGGATGCAGCCCCGAAGGCTGGTGGCAGTTTCCTGTCCATGGGTAGGTGACGGCCCCTGGCTCAGGCAGAGGGAGACGGTTAGACTCTTGTAGGGCTAAAACTCTAATTTGGAATTGAATGTTGTGGAGATCTTAATTAAAGGCCACACTTACAGCTTAGAAATGAAGGCTTAAGTGGCACCAAGTTACAAAGTGATTTATTTCCTTCTCAGCAAACCTCCGGGAGGTTCCAGAATGAGTTCTTTCTCACAGGTTGTCTTCATGGGAGCCTGGGGCCCCCCCAGGCCCCACCAGCTCCGTCCTCCCCTGATGAGGGGCCCTGCTGAGTTGTCAGCTGCTCTGCTCAGTTAGTCTTTATTCCCGGGGTACCAGGCAGCTGCACACTCGGGGCCTGGGAGGCACATAGAGGCCCAGAGAGTCCATGGGGGTTCTGCTCCTGACCGTGTGGGTGGTGGTGATCCTTGTCAGGATAGACAGTCCTTGCTCCCACCCCATCCAGGATGGCCGCCTGTTGCTGACCATTGAGTCCTGTTGTTGTAAGCCAGGCATGGAGGGCTCCTGCCCTTCTGCTGAGCCACAGCCCTCTGCAGCACTGTGCTGGCCAGATTTCAGCTGCCTTGGGAACTGAAGCCCTGCCACTGTTGCTAGCCAGGGGCTTGGTTCTCCCACTTACACTGTTGACATCTATTTTCTGAAGTGTGTTTAAATTATTCAGTGCTAATCATTGTTTTTTCCTGTGTAAATGTTGATTCAGAAAAGGAAAGCACAGGCTAAGCAGTTAAAGGCTCCCCACCATTCAGCCAGAGCAGAACCCCTATTCCCCAGCCTCTGCTGGTAGCATGTCGCAGTTTCCATGTGTTTCAGGATCCTTGGGCTGTTGTCAGACAGGTTAATGAAGAAACATTTCTCAATAGTTTCCTTTTTGTTTTCCTTTATAATTCACTAAAATAAAGCATCTATTAGTGTCTGATTTAGGAATGTAAAATGATTCTGTATTAATGTAAATAAGATTATCTATTGCAAAAAGATATTTAAAACCTAAATTGTGGTCATTTCTTCTTTGAAAGAATTCAGACAGCCTCTGCAGGTAGCTTATGGGAGTTACTGGAGACTTGGCTGGCCTCATCCTGTGCTCACGCCCACCCAGAGTACATAGAGGCAGACAGGTCTGGGGTGCCGACAGTGCTGACCCTCAGTCAGATTCCAGAGGAGGGTGCTGGCCATGACACAACAGTCCCATGTGAGTGAATGTTCTAGAATCTGGATGTGACTTTTTCCTTGGGAGCCCATGCTGTGAGAGCTGGGCAGTGTCCCTGGGTCCCTGCATTTCAGTCACCCTCACTGGATTGTTTCTCTACATTCTTTTCAGAGTCTTTGCATCTTTTACATTCAATTTTATTTTATTTTTTTGACATAGAGTCTCACTCTGTCGCCCATACCGGAATGAAGTGATATCATCTCTGCTCAGTGCAACCTCTGCTTCCTGGGTTCAAGTGATTCTCCTGTCTCAGTCTTCTGAGTAGCTGGGACTACAGGTGCATGCCACCACGCCTGGCTAATTTTTGTATTTTTAGTACAGATGGGGATTTCACAGTGTTGGCCAGGCTGGTCTTGAACTCCTGACCTCAGGTGATCCACCTGCCTTGGCCTCCCAAAGTGCTGAGATTACAGGTGTGAGCCACCATGCCTGGCCAAAATTTTTATATATTATAGTTTGGCTACTTTTGGGTTTCCAGCCGAGCTCTATGCCTGACATGGCTGAAGGGGCCCTGATACACAGCTCAGTCCACCCTGGTGCTCCGTGCTGAGCAGGGTGAGATGTGAGTCCATTCGCTGGGTCAGGTGGAGAAAGAGCTGACGGATAGGAGAGGCTCAGCAGTGACATTCTGCTCATCTCAGATACTTCCCAGTATTTTCATCAATGAAATATTGATTGCCTGACTACTGTGGACACTCAGTATGGACCAGGCACTATTCTAACTCCTGGGGACGCGGCAGTGGGGAGCTAGACTGTGTCTCTTGTGAAAGCTTGGGCTTATTCCTGGTCCAGTCGCTCTGAGTCTCATTCATGTCCTATTGCTTCAAAGCAGAAGTCTAGAGAAAGACTTTGGAAGAGAAAGGCAGATTCTCTTGCTAAACAGAAACCGTTGTTGTGTTGAAGCATCCTTCCCTCAAGGGATTAGAAGGTGGCTGTACATGGCTGGGTCCGGTGGCTCACGCCTATAATCCCAGCACTTTGGGAGGCCGAGGCGGGTGGATCAGTTGAGGTCAGGAGTTCAAGACCAGTCTGGCCAACATGGTGAAACCCCGTCTCTACAAAAATACAAAAAAATTAGCCAGGCGTGGTGGTGCACGCCTGTAATCCCAGCTACTCAGGAGGCTGAGACAGGAGAATTGCTTGAACTCAGGAGGTGGAGGTTGCAATGAGTGGAGATCATGCCATTGCACTCTAGCCTAGGCAACAGCACGAGACTACATCTCAAAAAAAAAAAAAAAAAAAAGGTGGCCATGCAACAGCTGTAAAATTCCTTTCCAGGCCTGGGTTTGGTTTATTTCCACTTGTGCTCCTGATGTATGTGTTACCAGACTTTATAGCTTCGGAGTAGGGGCATGTATTTAAAAATGCAAGAAAAGGGCCAGGCATGGTGGCTCATGCCTGTAATACCAACACTTTAGGAGGCCAAGGAGGGAGGATTGCATGAGCTCAGGAGCAAGATAGTGAGACCCCATCTCTACAAAAAATTTTAAAAACTTAGGCTTGCACCTGTAGTCTCAGCTCCTCGGAAAGCTTCAGGTGGCAGGATTCCTTGAGCTGGGGAGTTCAAGGCTGCAGTGAGCTGTGATCATGCAACTGCACTCCAGCCGAGGTGACACAGCCAGACCCTGTCTGAAGAAAATAAAGTATCTCTAGGCCCGTGAGCCTGTGGGAGGTGCATGTTTGGCACTTGCTTAAAAATTAGGAGGGTGGGCCAGGCATGGTGGCTCACGCCTGTAATCCTAGCACTTTGGGAGGCCAAGATGGGCGAATCATGAGGTCACGAGTTCGAGACCAGCCTGGCCAACATGGTGAAACCCCGTCTCTACTAAAAATACAAAAATTAACCAGGTGTAGTGGTGTGTGCCTGTAATCCCAGCTACTCGGGAGGCTGAAGCAGGAGATCCCCTTGAACCTGGAAGGCAGAGGTTGCAGTGAGCCGAGATCACGCCACAGGATTCCAGCCTGGGTGGCAGAGCGAGACTCCATCTCAAAAACAAAACAAAACAAAACATTAGGAGGGTGGACAAGGCCAGCTCTCAGGGATTGGTCCTCAGCCCTGTCCCCACCTCAGGCCTGGGCTTGGGTTGTTTCCAGCCTGAGCCTCCTCCTCACTCATAGTCCTTTGGGTTCTGGTGGACTGGCCTTTGTTTCCTTTCCTGTCAACCAAACCCCTCTCTGTCTGCAGGAATCCTCTCCAGGCCCACAGGCCTCCAGCTGCCCCTGCCCCTCTGTGTTTGTAGCACTGCAGAGCCGGCTCTGATGTGGAGGACGGCAGCTGCACAGCTCCTACAAGAGGCTTGTTTCCCACTCTTGCTTGTTGATAAGTACTGTGCACGTCTTTTAACCAGAAGTTCTGCTGATTTGTCATGACCCTTGAAGAGGGTCACAAATGGGCCAGGTGGGAACGTAAAAGGTGAACTGGGTCCACAGTCATGTGGCCAAGGGCATGATCCACAGACTTTAGCTTACTGGTCACCTTCCCCAATGCTGCTCCTGTCCCCATTTGTTATTTATCCTTGCTGTTTTGTTTTTTGCAGCCCTTAT